AATTTCACATCGCACTTAAAATCGATAATATTGCACAACAACCTTTAAACAATCTAGGGAAAGCACGGCATACGTTTAGAATTAAAATAATTTTGATTAGGATGGAAGGACCCCTTTACACGTTGCTGCTTTGAACGGAGATTTCAAAACCACGCAGTTCCTCATCTTAGAAAAAGCATCAAGCGATGCTTTGGATAAGGTATTTATACGGTTACTATCCAGAAAGATATCGTATGATTTCATATATGATACCATATAATATTATGAATATCCTTTTAAAAAAAATCATCGAATAAAATAAATTATAAAAAAAATTATTTAATTAATTTTATGAAAAAGTATTATAAAAAGGATTTTTGTTCCTTAAATGTATACACATGTTTATTACTTACTACATGTCATACATAAGCAAAATTCCTTACCGTGAATGATTTTTATCTAGTAAACAATATTTATGATTTTAGCAAGGGCACACGCCATTAGATTTAGTCAAGAGAAAGATTGAAGAGAAGAAAGACGAAGGCTTGACAGAGGCAGCAGAGCCTTTGTACAGGACGTTAGCTTTTCTAGAAAGTACTCAAAAAGTAAACCATAGGAATGAATTACTGTAAATTCACATATTTTCGTGGGGTCAAATTTTCATGGTTTGAGGAAATAATCTTGGTTCAAGTGGATTTGATTTCGTGGATGGAGAACTTTTTAGTATTTATGTATGTAACATTTTACTTTTCGTGGTGGACAAAAGGTCGTGGGTCTCCTCATACCTCGAAAATAACGAAAATTAAACCCCCACAAAAATTGGTGATTTTGGAGTATGCACTTTTTATCATTATCTTTAAACTTATAAGATGTCTAATAACTTTTCAATATTAATATACATTCTCATTAATATAATTATGAGGTGTTGGGAAAAATGTCGCTCTCATATGTCGTGATAAATTAAAAAGTAAAATGAAGAAAATTTACAAAATCCACATATTACAAAGTAATTAAATCCTTTGATTTATTTCAGAAAGCCAAAGACAATGAAGGTATGAACAATATGAGTTATGTGTAAAATCTGTAATATTTATTTTACTTAATCAGATGGTAATGGGATTCTTAGAAATCCATGACTTGTCTCAAAGATTTATAATCACAATCAAGTTTAGAATATAAATAAGCAAAACTGTTCAAAAATGACTTATTCAAGCTAAATTTTGTGCAAATTTTACTTTTTGAAATAGAAAAGAAGTATCGGTTTTTACAATAAAAATCGTTAAAACAGCACATAAACGTCTTATACGAAATCCTATACTAAATTATAATGAATTGAAATTTGAATTATCAACATGAGTGTACAATATATACTGACACCCTACTTTAGGGGGAAATGATTATGTAAATTAAAGAATTTTGTAACTTAAACATATGAATATCTTCAATTTGGTAAACATCGATATTAACGGTTGAACGATTTCCATACCATAACCGGAAGTCAAGTTTGAGTTTGCTTAACAGAAATCAAAAATTGCATGTTTTACAAAACATTTGGCAATATTATGGAGTTTAAGGGTTTTTTTACTGTTCATCATAAGTAATGCAGCAAAATTTCAAAATGAATCTCTCCTTTCGTTTCCCGCAACGATGCTAAGGCTACTTGAAAATGGCTTATGTACGCATTTCCAGTGCTCTAGCTGGAAAATTGTTCTGTAAATGTGATGAAGAGTTGCTGATGCGGAATTTCACTACATTACGCCTAAACAGGGTCTTACGTATCATATGCATTAAGGACAGTCCTTGTACCGCAAGTCCAAGGGTGGCTACACTGATCTTAGTTAGAGAAAATTCGACCTAATCATCTGAAAAACTGGCATTTAAAAATGCTAAAGAATATTTCTTTCGCTCATATCTAGATATTAATGAACCTATTGTATCATAGAAATTAGGCTGCAATTGTTGTTTAGGACAGTCTTGCACGTTTTATTTGAATGGCTGGGAAGAGGGTGTTTTAACAGTCATATGTTACTTAGTAAAGTTAAAAGATAAATATTTAACATTTTTATCAAATCTCTGACGTTCTGAAAAGTGAGCTTACCCTTACTTTATTCGCTTTTAAAAATATAAGATAAAAAAATCAAACATTTGTAGATTACTGCTTGTTGCGTTTCTTTTGCGTGTCAGTATAGTTATGTACTTTATACACAGCAGAAGAAATGTGCCTCCTCAGAGACTTTGGAGAGGAAGTTGAGACAAGGTTTCGGGAGTATCTGCGACAAGGATCAGAGGAATATTACGAAATCAATCTGATGTTTATCGGACAGGCAGGTGTTGGAAAAACAACTCTTACCAAAGGACTCTTGGGAGAACTCGACCCAACAACAAAGCTAGACAGCACAAATGGCATAGACCTGCATCTTCATCGATGTAAATACGACAGGCAATCCAGACAAATTTACCCAGTTTCAAAAGGTTTTCTTATTTGTATCTAATCTACGTTTTCACATATTCTATAAAGCTAAACCCTTTTCGAATGAAAAAAAATCATTTAAATGTACATTACGTATTAATGAGATAAACTCAAAGGTCAAGATCACCTTACATAATGAATAAGCTCTTCAGGTGTTTCTCTTAATTTAAGCAGAGTTAAATCATTCATTTATTAGTGTTTGGTTGATTTAGTGCTAATTTGGATTACTCTTTCTGTTAGATATGAGCGAACAAATTCTGAATCAAAGAATCGGGGGCTTAATTCAAAAGTCGTTAAAAGACAAACCAGTCCAATGTTCAGGAAAAGTTCCTGTAGAATCACTTGAAACACAATTACCAGGTCTTACGCTTAACTCGACTGTAATAGATGCATTTAGCAAACCCTCTATCTGTTCTCATTGCTCATCAAGTTTCATCGAAGAAGACAATAATCTTGAAAATATAAAAGGAGATGAAGAGGGAAAAGAAACAACCTGTGCTTCAGTTGGGACAATGAACTACCTCGGAACTCCATCAGGAGATTTGAAATTAGAGACTTCTTCTTTAAATCCGGAATATACATGTGGATGTCTTCAGAATAATTTGGTTTCCACAAATTTGACTAGTGAAAACATATCAATGGAAACATCTTCTACATCACTTATTTCTAAAGATGTGGAATCTTTAATCAAATCTGACGCACAAGGTTCAATCCCATCATTTAAACCAACGCATGTCAATACTCTTGTCACCAAAGCAAAGGTTCTCTCATCAGAAGAAAGACCCGAGAGACTTGTTCCAATAACGATTTGGGACTTTGGGGGACAAGAAGTATTTTACACAACTCATCAAACATTTCTTTCCGCCAACTGCATCTATATGATGACCTTCAATTTGTTCGAATTTTGGCAAGAAGCGGATTCCAACAAAACATTGATAACCACAATGGGTACAAAATGTTTATTTTTCTATATTCTACAGATCATTTTATTATTCAGTGGACTTCTTTAAAAATATAAAAAATTAGCAAAAACTTTTAAATTTAATATTCAGATACCATCTCTTTCTGGATAAATTCTGTTGTCACTTACGCAAGACACGCTGTTCCGGGATATCCTAAGATCGTTCTTATAGGAACACATGCTGACTGCTTTCCTGTAGTACGTATTCCAAACCGTAGATTCAAGTTTAAAATTAATTAAATAATTTAAAATAATATTCTAAATTTGACCAAAATAATTAAAGCATTAAAAACCTAATAGGATGAAAAAATAGCTAATGCAGACACATAACTGAAAAAAACTGCTCTGTTTCTATGCCTACAAACCAAATCCTATAAGGCTATATGTAACTGTTTTGTTTTAATTGAATTACATTTTTAAATCTATAGGAAGAAAGAGGAAAGATATTATGGATGGTCTTCCAAAAGCTCGAGAAATACTTTCGGAGAAGTGTTCAGAGACAACATTTAATCATCAGTCCTCGCCATTTCCTTGATGCCAGAGAGGCTGAAAGTGTGCCGTTTGACCTCTTACGTCAATGTGTCATGGAGATAGCGGAATCATTACCAGATTGGGGATTGCCCATTCCACATAAATGGATTGTTCTAGAAAATCTTGTCGCTGATTTGAGAGCATGTGGTTGCAAAATTGTTTCTGTTGATAAACTACAATGCATGCTAGAGGATGAATTATATTTCAAGCGACAAGAAATTGAAGACTTTTTGACTTTTCAACAATCAATTAGCAAACTTCTTTATTTCAAAGACAGTTTCCTCCACGAAAATGTTATTTTAGATCCAAGCTGGGTGATCGATGCTCTATCGTCCTTTATCACTGATGATCGAATTTCGTGTTGTGTCGTTAATCAAAGATCACTCGGATGGAATAATTTGAGAGAACTTGGACAACTGAGTTTGGATCTTATAGATGACATATGGAAGAACTCTGATTTTTATCCTTTCAAGGATTACCTACTCAATGTCCTTTGTAGACTGGATTTAATCACAAGGAGCAAACACAAAGATTTCTTCTACGTTCCAGGAATGGTGAAAGGAAAGTGTCCCGAAGAGATAATTAATGACGTCCACACCTCAACAGAAGTAGGACTGGTTTCCTTCAAGATCGTATTCAAGAATAATTTTCTGCCACCTGCCATCTATAATAGAATGGTCACAGCATTTCTTTCAATGTTTGAAAGCTCATCACAATCATCAACACAACTGTTCAACGACTGTGCCATTTTTGAACTCTCTCGAAGTAGATGGGCCATTCTCTACAAGCAAGGCAATGAAATCGAGATATTTACTTACATATGTGATCGACGAGGCAAAGCAGCAGACATAAAATCTTTTCGTATGGTGTATAGCATAACGTTAGACTGTCTAAAAGATCTTATGAAGCTTTACAGCGCGTTCCAAAATGTCTCCGTGAAAGAATCCGACTTGCCTTTTGAAGTCCTATGCCAAGGATGCAGAATATCGCTTTGTTATATCAGTAAAGGTGATTACCATGAGTTGGAACATTTCCGATGCCCGATTCACAATGATTATCTCTGCAGTGTTGAAACTTTAGAAGAAATCTTTGGATCAAAGGTAAATTGTATTTTGAGTATTTTATGTTCACCATTAGGAAGTTTTTTTTTTCCTTTCATTTGTCTGATTCTTATTGTTACAATCAAACTTTAAATTAAATTAAAAGAACTATATGAGGTATATTACATATATTTGCCCCCCAAAAAGTAAAATTTTGAAAACTTCCGGAAATGTGCTGAATTCAATAAATTGTATGAGAAATATAAATTAACAGAAAATATTATAGTGTCGAAGAGTGTATTCACAATTTTTGTTTTTATGACGTCACAAACTAGTCCGATTTTATGTCCTTTTTCAGAAAGAGGACAAAATGGACAAAATTTCAACAATTTAAGCTTTAAAATTTATAGAGCGCAAGTTTGTTCAGGAACAATATTGACATATTTCATTGATATTATAATTCTACACATTATATCAAAATATTGATCCTGAACACACATGCGCTCGGTGACTTTTACTCAAAATATCGACGAAATATGTACATTTTTCTGTAAAATTCATAAAAAACTTAAATTTACGTCATGTTTGTGACGTCATTACGTACATATGGCGTCATTACTTAAGAAAATATGCAGTGCTTCGAAGTCAGCATATACTCCCCTGTTCAAGAACTTAAATATATCTCCATCAAAGTTTGATTTGGGGGGCAAATATTCGTTATTACCGAATAAAGTTCTTTAATTGTAAATTCGAATAAAAAAATGTTTAATTTACTTGTAATTTGAGGATTTCATTATTTTCAGGAATTCAAAGAAGAAAAAGAGCCCTTTGTTAGGACGGTAGATATCCATCCCTATCCTTGCCTAGCATTAAAAGGTAAATTGTTATGAAATAAAAGAATATTTATTTACAAAATTTCTCAACATTGTTTTTAAAAGTACCGCAATTTGATAATGTTAAATTTACAAAATATTATGCACAATTTCATTTCATAACAAGTAAGATGAAATAAAATATTACTTAGCACTTATTAATTGAACGAAGCATTAACAATTAAGTGCTTGCAAGCGATGCATGTCATTACCAATGAATTTTTTCATTATACGAAGAATTGCGTTCTGACATTGTTAATTGACAAATAGTGCAAAATGTGAATAGTTTACAGCACTTGATAACAAATGTAAATTTTACATGGTAAATTTTAGAAAATGCTGAGTGCTTCCTGGACTACATCGCCAGCAAGGTCTCTGGAAGTGATTGTGTGTTCTTATCTGCTGCTCTTGGCTTTGGTGTAACATTTGTCAAAAACCAACGCCATGATTATTCAAGCCCACATGAATTAGCTTTTGGCATTCTCTACAACTGGCAGAAAATGCACCCCTTAACTCAAAGTATCAACCAACTTATACAAGCTTTTGTTGATTTCGAGCGACAGGACATTACCGAAGGGCTGAAATGCTTCACATTTCAGAAGTTTATGGATTCTGCCGCCTTGTTGAATATTCCAAATCCAGACATGCCTGTCTCAGACGAAGATCTTGTGATTGTGTCAAAGAAAGTGAAAGACATCAAGCGGGTCTTCAGATTTCTGCATATTCCCCAATGGTTTATTGAGGAATGTGAATTTGAACTTAAAGGATCTCCCCAAGATGTCATCGCTTTAGTGACTTTATCGAAATGGGGAGAGTCCAAAGTCAAACCTTCCAGAGAAAGTCTTATTGCAGGATTATTGTACATTGAATTTAAAGAGTTGGTTGACAAACTAGTAGAGAAATGGCATATAAATCCCTAGAAAAGATAGTTGTTTCATGGACGTATTATATGGTCTTTTTATATTTAAGAAACACTAATATGACTCAAATATTTACCATTTACTGACAACAGTATTGTTCACATACGCAAAGCTTTATAACCAATGTTCAAAACTTCAAATATGAAATAAATACTTGCTAATATAAATGCAATCAAATTTAATTTTCAAACTTTATTCAAACATTTTTAGAAAAAAAATTAGGAATCTCGTTCGTAGGGAACATATTTACTTTTGATTCTCTGATACAATACTCAGTCCTCAGAAACTGGAAATGTAATTGTCTTGGGAGTAGTGGTAATTAAAGGACAACTCCTCACACAATAAAATCTTATTCTACAAGAGATCCTGTCAAAACAGCCGTACATCCTATCGCATTGCGTCACACAGCCTTGAGTTTTCCTCGCAGGACAATCTTGACCTTCACAGAAATCATCAGTTGTATTAGCGCCATGTGTCAGTAAAAGTGCAAAAATAAGCATTGCAATCATCTTGAAACCTGTGATGAAAATTGCACCAAAATCACATGCATGTAGAACATCATAAAATTCACGTTGAGTAATGAATAAAAATGAAGTTCAACTTTAGGAAACCCTAGAATTTTTAAAGCATATTTCGTTCTTAATCCCAATCCGCCATGCTTTTTCTGCTCGTAAAAAGAGTAGTGAATTCGGGTGTCTTTTACCTATTCCCACTTTTTAAAAATCTCAATTCCACATATTCTTCCTCTGATAGATACTACACGAAGCAGTTTGTTTTTTTTAAAAGTATTTTTGAATGCAAATAGTTAAGCATAAACTTCCTTTGTATTTTAAGCATAAACATAGCTCGACATAGAATCTAAATTTCTTTTATATTTCCATGATATTCAACATTTTCTATCTTACCTAACATGGAGATGCTATATAGTCAAATTTAAGAATAATCTGAAACACTAGATAACCAGACTGCCGTTTATTTTTAATTGATGGGCATCCTATGTATAAATCTTAAAACTCTAAATTTATTTCATGATCATCAGAGATTTTGTAAAATGCCTACCTCACACCCCTCTAGTGCCACTCTCTGATGCAAAATCTGCACGAGTTTATATGTAAATTGGCGTCCATACGTAGCTATACGTAGATACCAAAGTATTTGAATACGTAGAACAATTTTCATTTTTTTAAGTACCACTTTTTGTCTTTACCCTGTCAAAAATGACGTGTAATATAATCCATATGTTGTGAAAAATCTATCGCAGATGTTCAGTTTTCATCAGCAAAAATAAGGTCCCTGGATTCTAAACCATAATAAAAACACAATCATAAATTAACTGTAAAAAATTGAATAATTATTAAGATTTACAAGCGCCAGTGTAAAAAGATTAATGTCGGTATTGCCCAAATGAAAACGTCCTTATTTAAAATAAAAAAGGGTGAATAGAATCAAATTTGATTCGGTTTATTTAATGACATTAAAACAAGTTGAAAATAAATCATATCTGTAATGTATATATTTTTATGAAGCTTTTATTGAATTTATTCAACCACCTTTATACATGAGTTTAATTCAACATTAGGTATGTGAACGATGTTTATGATGATAGTAATTTTTCAATCGTGTACGTATTGACTCGATATAACCTTTGAGTTTGAAAAAAAAGGAAGTGAACATGGTGTTGTTACCGTGCTGTTTCACATTTGAATGTTTTACAGCTTACGATTGACATTAATTGCCAACTTACAATTAAATATCACTTATTTATGCAGTAACTTCTACTACTAGTACCCCCTGAATACGTTTTTTATGTCTTTACACGCAAGAACCACGCAAGAACTTTTATTGAGACTAATGATTTATATAGTTTTTAACAGGTCGGTTACAGTGATTTTATATGTATGTTTTAATTTTTGCATAAGATACTCTTTTGGAAATCAATCGATTTAATTACATACTTCGTACCGATTGTAAGACCCTTATTATACCCCCCCCCCCGCTTGAAAAGCCGGAGGGTATATAGTAATCAGTATGTCTGTCCGTCTGTACGTCTAGCTGTCTGTTAGGGCTAGGTATTGGCCAGAGATTTCGTATTGCGATATTTTGCGATATTTTTAACTGTATTGGATATATATTGCAATCTTTTCAACGAAAATAAAATGGCATTTTTTTTATCATATTACCTTTAATTTACTTGAATATGCAGAATGTACATAACTATGATCAGTAACCAAAAGAAAAAAAAAATCTTGTTGATTTAAATTTTTAAAGTTACGCTCTGAAATACACACATAAAACAGCTTCTGTTGTACTTTTTTGGTTTCATAACAACCTCTCTTAAATTCATTTTTATAGTTAATGATAAAATTCCTCAATCTAGATATTTTGCCGGTATGTCGATATTACAAAAACGTATTGCAATACGATATTTTTTGTACATGTATTGCAATATACCGGAATATCGATATTTTTGCACAGCCCTACTGTCTGTACGTCCGTTCGTCTGTCTGTTACGCTTTCGGGTACCCATCTCTTATCCGCAACTCCTCTCATACAATTTAATGAAATTTGATGAAACTTTCACGGAATCTTTATTACATATTGCCATTGTGCACCTCCTATTTTTCATTATGATCCAACACATATTTTGGGTTTCCTTCAACAAAACATCGATACTCCCATTATATTCATATTAGAGTCGGGGGTATCATTTAGTGAGCTCATTGCTCACAATACCTCATAATATTCATATTTTATCCATCAACATTTTAGTTTTCTGTAATTAAAGTCTGAAAAAAAATGCCTGTGCGAACAAACTTTGCACCTCTTCCAGCTCTAATGATAAATACTGTGAAATCCAGATATATTTTTAAGTGTTTTATTTTTGTTGTTTTTACGGATATGAAGAGCCATCCCCGAATTCATGACCGCCGCGAAATTAAAATTGCAAATACATAACCCATTGTTTTTTCACCACGGATTACACAAGAAGTTTAAAACACTTTAATACAAAACAATTAAAAACTTTCAGATAGACTTGTTATAAAAAGTAGGAAAACACCGTACTTTATCTTTTTAATTAAATGCTTTTTAAACCTCGGGACCATAAAAATGGGATGAGTTCACGTTTGATCTAAGTCTTATTTTTCCACTATTGATCTCTCTTGAAAAAGTAGATGAGACTGACTAAAAATTAAAAATTATTAAAAATGAGTTCGTTGCAGCATTATGGCCCCATAGCCAAAAGGTTAGATAGTGTCTATCCAAAATTTTGTTATTGACCAGAGGGTTAGATGGGCTCATACATGTAATATTCAGATGAAATGGACAAATAAAATATGGAGATGATGAGCAGTATTCAAGTTCAAAAGTCCCCTAAACTTTACAAACCAGGAGCAGAGCATACACGACTTCTAAAACATCAAAGGTGGGATCGAAGTGAGCATCCCTTGATTTCCGGTGATACCTGTCGTTCACTCATTGTCTGATCTGGAAATAAAGGGAAAATCCGTCGATAATTCACTGTGTATGAATAGTAGGTATAAACTTTATAATTATCTTCTCAAACATCAGACCTGCAACTATTTGCCACATCATATGTTAGCATCTTAATGAATGAGATTTATACCTGTTCAATTCTTGGTTTCATTGTACTTAAACCTGAATTGTCCTTCATTGTTCAAAACTAATACTGTATTTTGCTCACTCAGTACAATGTCAAGGTTCTTGTTTCCCTCAATATGGACCACAAAAAATGAATTAAAACGCAAGTCACTTAATTTTATTTCTTGTATGAGTGGTAGAGCCAGAATAACGGACAACTTTTCTATACTTGGTCCATTTTAATATAATAGTCATATGTACTAAGAGGTCATTAGTATAGGTGCAGCAGATAGCATCTGGAATCCATTCTTTTACCTTGAGCAGACGTTTTATCTTATCACCTTCAACTATTACTCTTTCACCCCCTCACTATACATGAGGTGTCCCTCTCTGGTGAGTGTCAAAGCATATGGTTCAATATTCTCTGTCTTTGTGGTGATCTTCCTCAGCACCTCCCCCCATGTGTTCATCTATTGAATTATTCCATTGAAGCCACTTAATCAGAGGTTATCTGTGTGAGGAATACAATGTGCAGGCTATGTGGCAAATTACTCCATCAGTATTTATATCTCCTACTATAAGTGGCAAATCAAGAAACTTCTTTACAGCTTTTTCTAAATTTGAATTGTATTGGGGAGCTTTCAGGACCTGTCCTTGAATGCAAGTTTCTTTGTTTCTGGAATGTCTCCAATTATTTGACACAATGCCTGCTCTGTAATATCTGTGGGACTGAATTCTGGCACTGTTAGTTCAAATCTAGAATGAATAGTTCTGAACTTTTCATTTTCTGAAGTGTAATTGACAAGTTTAGATGCATCATTTGAAGCAAGGATAGATTTCTTTTCATCCATTGTTGATTGAATTAAAAAGTAGCATTTCTGGAAATCTACCTCCAGGTCCTTAATTTCATTAACATCACTCCTTCCCATTTTTCTTGCATCACTCTGATATTTTTAAATAACAATGTCTATTACCTTGTGCCATTTTTTAAAACCAATTTCATCAATGTTTTTTTGTCTTTCATCATGTTTCTGTTCAATGCTTGATAACATCTCTTTTAGATTGGCGAGTATTGATTCATAAACAGGTGCAATACTTGTTTCAAGTTCATTTAAGTCTTTCCCGATAAGGTCCTGTTTAGAGCTACATATTTCAGTAATAGGTGGTACACTGTGATTTACATGGGATCCCAAGGCTAGACATTTCTGACATATTGGGTATTCACATTGTTCACAGAACATTTCACATTGTTTTTCGCCATGGACAATGCATTGTGGAGGCATGATTTCAATTTTTTTGAATTCAAAAGTAACGACATTATGTCTAATGGTGGGATTCGCAATCATATGATGATCTACACAGTCCTTGCAAAGATCGACATGATATGTTTTACACACAGTTTCTGCAGCAGACTTTCTGTCTTTTCCGGGGCAAAGTTGACACCGTTTAACGTCCTGTGCTCTGTTACCGGAATCTGATGGTGTTACCATGTTGTATTTATAAAGGGGTCTATTTTACCTTTTCCATCAATGAAAATGTACGCCGTTATCATTCGGTCTTATAAAATAATTTAAGCATATAATAATTTTTTTCAAATCAAACAAGATAACACAGAAAAAAATCTAAATGGGAATAATTCACTTATATTAGATAACACATGATCGGGTTATTTGTTTTACCTGTAAAAGTTTTTCTCGATAAACAATGACGGCCTGGTGTGTGTTTAGATAAGCAATGATCCACGTGTATGCTGATTAAATGTCTGCATGTTATATTGACACAGGCCCTGCATAATTACCTCGTTTATTTGTATAATAAAATTTCGTTATAACGGTGAATGTGATATACCTGGTACTGTGTAGTTCTTCCTTAATTTCTTTTTTTGTATACATGCACATGATAGGAAATTAAAAAAGCAAATGAAGTACATTTGCAATTGTTTCTCGGATTTAATACTTTAAAAATTCATACATTGGATCTTATGATATACTATCTACTTATGAACAGATTGATATTAGTATATTTGAAAACACTTTGTAAAGGCATTAACTTTTGCTGGTATATATATATATATATAACCTTACTTAAAAGTGTTTGGTACATTTTGTATTTATTAGCTTAAAAACAAACCATACAAAAAGAAATATAGCAAAACTATATTCAAATTCATCTTTATTCAATCTTTACAAATTCTACAGAAATAAGAGTTCAGGAATCATACAAACAAATTTTTCTAAATATCTAATTTTGCAAAAAATTGTCCTTTAAAATTGCACCAACCTCATTCATTGATTCTTTGATTGAAAAGGGATTAACGGAAGTTGACTCAGGGGGAATAACTCTAATTGATTGTAGGGATTATAGGCGGATCTAACGCTATTAATATATATGGGAAATGAACACTTTCTTCGATAAAAGCCTCCAATTCGAATAGAATTGGATGTGGTATTATCTCAGAAAAGTGAAACTCAAACGAATGGTAACTTGAAATTTATTTTATTAAGTGTGGCGATATTATGGGCACGGCTGTTATGAATAACTTTGGTTTCAAATACAAAACAAACAATATGGGTAATGGGCAGCCAACAACGAGCATGCCCCAAATCAAATGCACAAACAACATTCAACATCAAATACAATCAAATAGCAATGTCATGACCAAAGGTCAAAGTTCATATAGTGGTGGGTCAAAGTTTATACAACATCAAAGTTCAAAGTTCAAATTTTAGCGCAATCAAATAAGTTCAAAGTTCACAACAACATCCAAGTTCAAAGTTCACCATATATATCTAGAAAGCATTGACCCTGGGAGGTGCAGAGGTCAAAGCTTACAATATATTTATTACCAAATGCCGCTTATACGCCACAAGTTCCCTGAGATGAGGATCAGAATGAAACTCATCCAGGGAACTCCGCCACCATGGTGGGGGTAGAGCGGCATATACGAACAGCCGTACCCAGGACCCTTGTTAATTAGGAAAACAGGATTGACCATGCGCAACGATAGCCTCAAGTCCCCCCTGGAGAGAGTTTAGAAATATGTTATTTCCCAAAGAGGACAGGTGTACCCCGTCGTGTAAAAACAAGGCCGGATCAGGTTTAATGTCTGTATGGCGGATTATTGCGCCCCCAGATTGCAAGACAATTGCAGCTATATTAGAATTAACCCGTTTGCGTGCATTTTCCATAGCTTTTAAATTTGCTGAATAGCGCCATTGAAGACGAGGAAGGATAAATGACCATATAATCCTAATGTTTCGAAAGTGATTCATTAAAAATAAAACCAACTGCTTTGCCACAACCCTTAATTTTCTGATCGATACATTGCCCAGATCGTTCCCCCCACAATGTATAAGAATGCAATTAGGTACGGGGCCCACCTTTTCCAGAGTTCTAATCTTTTGTCTTGTTTTACTTAACTGGAGGCCACTATAACCCTGCCACCACAGGGAGATGTGCTTTCTTTCTAGCGTCAAATTTGTACCACCTGGTCTTAATACAGCTTCCAAAAAGGCGTGCTTGATTATTGATGAACCCACCAACCATATAGTCTGTGTATCTAAAATTAAATTAGAACCTTGGTATGCGAATGTAGGATTTGTACGAATCAGATTTCCAACCGCAACGACCAGATCTCTGAATGTCATTATTTGAATATCCTTTTAATGCGAGATCAGTACTTGCCCCAATACGAAAAGAGTGAGATTTGTAACCCGAGATACCAGGTAAATTCAGGTGCTTTACTGCCTTACACAGTACCCCCGTAAATTGATAACGAGTGAGTGGGGATAAGTCGAAGTGTCGAAATAATGGACCTGATCCCTCCGGACGGATGCTGACGTATTTGCTAATGAGCTGATATGGACATGCTACACCCCCCTGCTTATCTATTTGTAGTACTGTGCCTCTACCTAACTGATCCGTTTTGGAGTACTGGATAGTCAGTGAGAGAGATGTGTTTCGTGATTTATGTACAAATGGTCGATTTGAATTGTATTTTGTTGATCACCTTTGCTTGTATTAACTGTTAATTCGCCCACTCTAAAAAACCCATGAAAGGCCAGGGAGAATGCAGCAGAGAAAAGAGCTGTTTCAAAAGCATTGGTACATATTATGGGCAGAACCTGAATAATATTTATCAAAATTGTTTTCGTTATTGGCAATCTCGTATCTGCTTTATGTTTCAAACGTTTCATACCCTGCAATAACTTTGTAACCAAGAATTCCGGGGTTGGATCGTGAACACTTTGCAATTTACAATAAAATGAAATGGCAGACAAGTATGACCTCACGGTACCATATGCAAGACCGGATGATGATGAATGCAAAACGAATTGCACGACTGAGTTTAATGTAGGAGGCCATGGCGTACAATCAAGGAGTCTACATACTTTCTAATAAGCTGCCATTCCAGCACGATGAGATTTATGTGTGTTTTCAGATACTGAAGCGTCTAAAAGTTTAGCAAATTCAGGCTGGAGATGGTGTTGCGGAATGATAGGGGCACTGGGCAAGGATGTGTCCTGGCATGTGGAGCTGCTTGTCGGAATCTGGCCCACTGCTTACGAGAAATTGAGTCAGCTACTACATTGTCTTTACTTGATATGTAAACTGCACGAAACAAGATATTATATTCCATAGAAGCAAGTACCAATGATCTAAGTAGGGTCATGACCCGCTCTGATTTAGAGGTGAGCTTATTTAATATAGCGACTACAGCTTGATTATCTATATGGAGAATTATCTTTTTATTAGCTAGTTTGTTACCCCATAAATAAACAGCCAAGACCACCGGAACTAACTCTAAAAAGGTCATGTCTCTAAGTATTTCATTGGACGCCCAAGTTTCTGGCCAAGGGTAAAAACACCATTCCCCATTGAAATAAGCACCACAACCTAAGTAAGACGAACCAGAACTATCTGTATAAAAATTAATGTTGTTGTCTGACGTCCACTCATTATCTAAAAAATACACAGTCCCATTAAATGACTCAAGAAAACTAACCCACATGTACAAGTCCTGCCGCATTGATTGAGTTATCCTTATGCGATAATGTAATTCTGAAACTCCTATTGTAGCATTATAAAGCCGACGCAGAAATGCCCTACCTGGTCTTATGGCTCTTGTAAAGAAATTCAATTTACCTAAAACAGACAGTATTTCTTGGAGTGTTGTCTTGCGTTGAACAACGAGATGGTGTAAAATACCCAGTAGCTCCACGCATTTTGAATTGGGGATCTTAACTAACATATGATAAGTATCTATCTCAAAACCTAAAAACGTCATAACCATAGTAGGGCCTTCAGACTTGTCCTCGGCAATGGGAACACCTATTTCATCACAGACGCCTTGAAAATTCGACATAAGTTCTTGACAAGAAGGGGCATCCCTCCCAGCAAATATAAAATCATCAAGATAGTGATCAATTGTTGATGTTTTAGAGCGCTGTATCGTAGCCCACTGCAAAAATGTAGAAAATTCCTCGAAAACCTTACACGAAATGGAAAACCCCATAGGTAAACATTTGTCTATGAAATAATTACCCTGAAACTTAAAACCAAGATCAAAATCGCCGGGAAATATTGGGAGAAGTCGAAATGCCGATTTTATGTCCCGCTTACCTATGAAAGCCCCCTTCCCTAATTTAGCAATCATCTGAATTACTGAATCAAAGGATGAATATTGTACAGCAGCCTCACAAGGATCTATATAGGAATTCACACTTCTAAACTTCGGAAAAGAGAGGTGAGTTATTAGACGCCAGCCCGAATTATCCCCCTTAGGCACTAACCCAATTGGAGATAACCTAAGATTAGAAATTGGTATTTGCGTGAAGGGACCCTGTATCCTCCCCATTTCAATTTCTTTGTCGATTTTCTCCTTAAGTTCATTCGGATGTTCGTCCGCGGATTTCAAATTATTACATTGAATTGGTAATCTGGGCCCATGGTAATGAAGTTTAAACCCTTGAGAGAATCCTTGAATTAGCCGATTTGCTACAATTTTGTTAGGATAGTGGACGAGACATTTTTTAAGGGCGTGTGCATTAATAGGAGTTGAACCTAGACGCCATAGCTTGCGGACTGCGGAATCTTGGTCTTGAGAAGGTTTGGCGCTGGGTGTTGCTGTTGGAATACCCCTTATAGTTGGTATTTGCATTGGTGGAATACCCTTTATACATGTAGTTGGTATTTGCATTGGTGGTTTGTGGACGGAAACCTGACTGTCCAAAGAATTGACCATTTGAATTTTGTTGGCGAAATGTTTGTGCAGATCCAGTGTTTGGGGCTTGTGCACTAGTAATACAATGTATCAGTGGATGGTTACTGCCACAGCGAAGACAGTTGTGCTTATACGTGCATGGAAATTTGTCGCAGGACCCCTTGATATTGAAATTGCAACATTTACCATTATATGTTTTGGGTACATTTGTCACGTTATAAGCTGGGCCAGAATGCATATACATTAACCATAATTCTGAGTCACTTCGCCCCAGGATGATGAAGGATTTTGCTCCTTACGCAGCCTAAACTGAGTATCATATTCTTTCCAAGATATAGCCCCCCTGCTAACACCCATTCTTACGGTCTGTATGTACTTAAGCAGGTCAAGAGTCTTGGCGGGATGTGCACTCAAGTACACGCTTGCAAATATGAGCATAAGATCAGTCCATTGCTCTATGTTTTCTACCTTTTTTGAGTTGGGATCTTTAGAAATTATCTCCCCCATACTATTTATAACTAATTTCTTTTCATCAGACCCTGATTTTGGTGTTACCAATGTGGCCAAATCAATATACTGCCCCCCAATAATACGTTGCTTGATTGTGCTAGAAACATTCGTACCAATCATATGTATTGATGGGACAGAAACAGGGGTGGTGCCCACATCTGCTGAAGTTGAAATCAGTGTTCCAGGCGTAGGCGGTGCAAGGGATTGCCCTGAACTTCCTGTCAACATGGGTTGAGCTTCCGCTTCAAAAGAATTTGCTGGAGCCTGGGTCGGTGGTATTGGTACTGGACATTCTGCCGACACCGACGACGAGTACGTCTGCGAATTCACTGTAGCCTGACTACCACTTCGTGGCTGCTGTGAGACAGTCGCTGATGGTTGAGCCATTCTGCGCTTCTTAGCTCTCGGTGGCATCGTGTACATTGATTGCAAGAAACAGAAAAGAAAATTAATTAGTTTTTATTTATATATTATATATTTTTATTTATTTTATTTTATTTTATTTTATTTTTTATTTCTTAGAAAAGATATTGAAATTCATCAACTTTTTTTTTTCTTTTGTTTTGTTTTTTTTTTGTGTTTTTTTTTTTTTTTTTTTTTTGGTTTTTATCTCCCCTTGATATAGAAACGTGTCTGATCAATTTGAAATACAAAGAAAATTTAATATAAACCAAAGCACATCGATATAAATCCTAACGATCGAGATTAATGACTTAGCAATCCTTATATCGTATCACATACTTACATGATATAATCTGTTTAATGAAAAGTTATTTATTTAGTGGTCGGCAAATTTTATGCAAGATGGCCACAACAGACGCTAGAAAAAATTGGCATGATACAATCAAGGATCATCGGGAAATCATGAATAAATACACCTAAATTGATTGCAGCAAACAACTACTGAATAGATAACAAAAACATCCATATGTATAATAGCCATTAACTATTTTTCTAAATATCGAATTTTGCAAAAAATTGTCCTTTAAAATTGCACCAACCTCATTCATTGATTCTTTGATTGAAAAGGGATTAACGGAAGTTGACTCAGGGGGAATAACTCTAATTGATTGTAGGGATTATAGGCGGATCTAAAGCTATTAATATATATGGGAAATGAACACTTTCTTCGATAAAAGCCTCCAATTCGAATAGAATTGGATGTGGTAAAAATTCATACATTGGATCTTATGATATACTATCTACTTATGAACAGATTAATATTAGTATATTTGAAAACACTTTGTAAAGGCATTAACTTTTGCTGGTATATATATATATATATATATATATATATATATATATATATATATATATATATATATATATATATATAACCTTACTTAAAAGTGTTTGGTACATTTTGTATTTATTAGCTTAAAAACAAACCATACAAAAAGAAATATAGCAAAACTATATTCAAATTCATCTTTATTCAATCTTTACAAATTCTACAGAAATAAGAGTTCAGGAATCATACAAACAAATTGGTCAACTTTCTGTAGAAATATCTAATTCCTATTTACAGTTGAAATGGTAGATGTCATCGGAATAGTTGTTATTAGAGGACACGACAGTATCATGCAATGATACCTTACTCTACAGGAAATCCGGTCAACACAACCGAACATTTTATCACACTGTGCGATACAGTCCTGGTCTCTACCGAGAGGACAATTTTCTTTACCTTCACAGAAATCTCTGGTTAGATCAGCACCAAGTGTGACGAATAATGCAAATAAAAGTATTTGTTATAAGCATCCTGAAACCTGTAGTGGAAATAATCCAAATATCACAATTAATTGTTAATGGGATTTAAAAGATAAACTAGTGCTAATTGTAACGGGGACCGTTACAGATGTTCCCCAAACGCTCCCCAACGCCCATTTGGTGCCATATTCCCTGTAAGCTTCATTAAATAAGACAAACTCTGTGCATTTGAGACTTTAAAACGTTTACACAAAAGTGTATCAAGTTCATTCAAATTTGAGCATTGCACGCGTGCGCATGTGAATGCATGTGCGTAATGACCATATCATCTTGTCTACACAATATTAAAGTATTTAATCCAAAAGTATTAAAAAATTCAAGTGTATTTTTGATTTTACTCATTTCACGTGCACACACGTCATACATGAGCATGGTGACCATACCTTCTTGTAGAGGTCCATTACATCTATCTATGTTCTAAATCCCATCCCGATTGGTTGAAAACCAAGGGAGTTATAGCTGTTTAAAGTTTCAGCCAATCAGATTGTAGCGCACGTACACGCACGTGTATGCATGTGCATAGTGACCATACCTTCTTGTAGAAGTCCATTATATCTATCTATGTTCTAAATCCCATCCTGTTTGGTTGAAAACCAAGGGAGTTATAACTATTTAAAGTTTAAGCCAATCAGACAGCAGCGCATTTGCATGCACGTGTTTTCATGATAATTGCTATATATCATATTGTAGGATATCCTAGTGCATGGCTATGTTCAAAATTTCAAAGGATTTCGTCAAAAAACAAGAAAGATATTGAGACTTTAGTTTCAGCCAATCAGAGCGAAGTGCACGTGCATGCGCGTGAGATCTTGCTATTTTGACCATGTCATATTGTCTATGCTACTAATATATCCTTATATTATGAGTTTCAAAGCATTTCAACAAAAAGGTAAAAAGTTACGCCTAAATCAATTAAATCGGTCATTTCACGTGTTGCACGTGCACGCTCTTGCAAGCACGTGCGCGCAAAATGACCTTTGTTCCACAAATCTACATAACATGTCTACTGACCCTAAAAAGGTTTTACCTAAGTCGGATGTATAGTTTACAAGATCATTCCCGGACAAAAAAGTACCCAGGAAGAAGAAGAAGAAGAAGAAAAATAACTAGATACGATCTCGTTGCGAGCAACGAGTGGGTCTTCCGTCCGATTCTTGATAAGATGAGATAAGATTTTGATTGAGAATTTTATTCTAAAATAATGATAAAGATTGTGAAGAAGAACGATTTTGCCTCCATAATCTGTAAACAGACATTGAACATATAGACTCAAAAATTCGACTTTTGGCCCCTCACGGCCCCTAATATTAGGGATCAGCCCTTTTTTCTTCATATCATCTTAAACCTCTCAGGATTTTGAACACTTTTTGTTCAACAACTATTCAGAGATTCTCTTTCGTTTTCGAGTTATTCGAAAAAGAAATATTTAGGGGCCAACCCTTCAATTCCTTAATAGGGACATTTAGCGAAAATTGAAAGGTTGCATATTGTTCAGAACATTATTTTGAACATCTTTTGTTCAATATTGCTTATCAAAGTATTTCCCACTTTTAAGATATAAAGCGTCAAAGATTTGGCAGCCTGGCCCCTTATGGCCCCTTATTATGTACCATACGACAGTCAAATCATAATATATAGTTGTAGATTTTTGAGATAAACATTTTTGCTTCAGTAATGTATAACAAAATATTGACTGTTAAAGAGTTATCGATTAAAGACTTTTAGCCCCTTTTGGCCCCTAATTTGAGTGCCAAGCCCCTTTTTCTTGATCTCATCTTAAAGCTCTCAGGATTTTAAACCCTTTTTGTTCAACAACTATTCAGAGATTCTCTTTCGTTTTGGAGTTATTTACAAAAGAAATATTTAGGGGCCAACCCTTCAACTCCTTAAAGGGGACATATAGCGAAAAACTAAAGGTTGCATATTGTTCAGAACATTATTTTGAACATCTTTTGTTCAATATTGCTTATCAAAATATTTCCCTCTTTTGAGATATAAAGAGTCAAAGATTTAGCATTCTGGCCCCTTATGGCCCCTTATTATGCACCATACGACACTCAAATTGTAATATATAGTTGTAGGTTGTTGAGATAAACATTTTTGCTTCAGTAATTAATAACAAAATATTGACTGTTAAAGAGTTATCGAATAAATACTTTTGGCCCCTCTCAGCCCCTAATGTGATGAGTCAGCACATTTTTCTTGATATCATATTAAAGATCTTGTCATTTTGCACAAATATTGCTCAGTATGTTTTAACAAAATAATTATATTTTAAAAGATATGATGCAAAATGTCTCAAAAATTCAGTCATGATACGTGTCCTAGATTTTGACCCCTACCGAGCTTCCATACTAGGCATTTCCGGAAAATTTGAAAACCATTGTGCATCTTGACAACATGTCCTTTATCTTTGGTAAAAATTTCAGTGTTCTAGCATTAGCCGTTCTTGAGTTCTGGTGATGACAAAGAGGTCCTCTAAATTTTGATTAAAGGGCAATAACTTCTGACCGGAAGTGATTTTCGAAAAAATGAGAAAAACGGATCAGGTTTAGTTCACGACACACCTTTCCTGAAAATTTCAAGTTAATCGATCGAGCCATCTCCGAGAAATCGTCTGCACAAAAATTGTAAGAAGAAAAAGAATAATAATAATAATAATAATAATAAAAGTGAAAAAGAAACAATAGAATAATAGAAGGGTCTTCCGCTGGAGACGGAAGACCCTAACTAGAAAGTCTGCTATTGCAAGCAATAGCATATGTCGCCCCGTACTGGACAAGACTTTCATTTTTATTATCACTAAAACAATGGTCCATTAGCTAAGCTTGGACAACGATCGACTCGTATCAGTCCTTTCCGTTGGAAACGGAAGACCTTAATTGGGTACATCCCATTTTATTTTTAGAATCGGTAGGAGAAGAAAGTAGTGCAGGAAAAAATTACAAGACTTGCATAAAAGAAATTGGGCAGATGTACTGAACTGAGCCTCATATTTGTTAATTGGCAGTATCTTTCCTACCAATAAAGCTTGGCAAATGTAATTTTTTAAGAAGATTATTTGTGTATTATAACGCCAGTGAGAACTCTGAAATTTCACTTTCAATTTTAGAGGTTCTGCCGGAAAACAAATATGACATGCCACCTTCAATTCGAGCATTTCTGCATTGTACAGGGCTGATGTTTCTTATGAGATGATAAATTATGTGTAAACTTTCTCAGTTTAGCGGAATCGTGAACATTTTCGGCGAGATGAATGTTTTGTTTACAGTAGTGATCAAGGCTTAGCGAACTTGTGGGAGCGGATCCTAGGATTTATGAATGAATAAAAACTATGGAAATAACGTACCAATTTTCTAATTTACTGTAAACCAACTTTTATTCGCGACGACTTTATTTCGCGATTTACCTGGAATAAACTAGTTCGCGACGATTAATTTTCGCGATCAAGCCTATTTTGATCTGTTGTTAATAGACACAGAGACTTTAAGGACTGGTTCGCGGCGAGAAATATTCGCGATGACGAGGCTCTCGCGAACTTCGCGAAAATTTCTCGCACGCGAATAAAAGTTGGTTTACAGTATACTTGCACTATCTAATGAAATTAATTATATACAAGAAATA